GTCAGCCTAAATTTCCCTATCAATTGTAAATTTTTTCTTAGAGAAGTTTGTTATGGTCCCCTTAAAAACTCTGCATTGCTTCTTCATTGTGTTGCTTCAAAAGTCAGAAACCAAACCTTGAAGTTCTGTGATGGAAGGAACAGAAACATATTTTGGAAAGTGGAGCTTTGATTTCATTTGAAAAATGCTAGATGTGGAGTTTGTGACTTTTGGCAATTCTTTGCAGACCATTGCTCAAGAAGGTTGATTCTTCTTATCTTAAAAAAAAAGTCTCCAGATCTTTTTGGAGAAACAAAGACATGAAAGTGTGTGGATGAGTCCTTGTGAACTCTCCAACATAAAGCTGACCCACATTTTGATTTTTGAATTGCGCAATGATGCCTTCCTTCTTAGTAACCTTTTTGTCCTCATTACAATCCTGTGAAGTTAAGTTCATGGTTGAGTGGAATGTTTTTGCTGGGCCATCTGTAGTCATTGACCCAAACTCAACCAACATCTTTTTGCTGTTTTGTGTGACTGATAGTACCCAAAACTAATTTGCAAAGATGACAAATACATGTGCACCCTCCAAATTATTTTTCAGGTCTACTTTGAGGATCAGAAATACCTATTTGAATTTACCTTGTAGGGTTTTGCTTGCTGCCAATTATAATATCTACTGCAGATATACCTTAGCTGGACTTGACAGCTGGCAGAGAAGGCATGGGACAGACAGGAGGAGAAGAAGAGAAACTGGTGGCAGCAGCAGTGCAGATGAAGGAAAAGAAAACATTTTCTATAGTGCCTATTGCCAGCTTTTTAATTTTGCTCCAGTTGTTGCAATATTGACTGGATTTTTCCCTTTTAAACTAGGGTTAAGGTGCAGTTTGCTGAAAGCATGAAATCAACAAACATATTTAGATTCTAGGGCCATGGTTTAACATTTCCCAAGATAAGTTTTATCATCCATCGCCAAATTTCATTCTTTAGTTAAATGTTAACATAAGCCTTCAGGTCTTCCACAAAATTGTCCTATCCTGGGAAACCTTCAGTAGAGACTTCAACCTTAATCCAGAACTGAAAAAAATGCCTATGAATAAGTAACTGTGAACTGAAGAAGCTTCTTGGATGAGAATCGAAACGTCTTCAAGGAAAATCAAAGGCCAATTGCCTTTTGAAAAAGCACCTTTGGGACAACCATGACCTGGATGACTGAGAATCTCCATAGACAATAAGCAACACCATTTTCTTGGCAAATACTTCCTCTTTGTTTTGATTAAATCATATAAGGGAAGGAGAGTTCACCATCTCCGAAGATAGTCTGTTCCTTTATTGAATGGTTCCTACTTTTAGAACGTTTTTTTTAAAATTTACAGCTAAAATTTAGTTTGTAATCCATTAATCCTTTGATTTCTTGTCCTGTCTTCAACTGTTTTGAATAATACTTCCTTATATGTGACATATTTCAGATGCTTGAAGACAGCTGTCGTGTCTCCCTGAAATCTTCTCCAGACTAAATACACTTGATACCTCCAACTATTCCACCACCTTGGTTGCTTTAGTCTGTTAATGTCCTTTCTAAAATACAATGTCTAAACCTGAATGCAATATTCTAGGTATGGCATGACCAATGCAGATTATTCAACAGCAATGACTTCTCTTGATATTGATGCTATTTTTCTGTGGATGCAACAGGATTCCATGTAATTTTTTTTGCAGCTGTATCATATGATTGATTGGGTCATATTCAGCTTCTGAGTCCTCAAGACAACCAGTTTCTATTTGCTTGTGCTGCTTTTTCTGATCCTGCATTCATATTTTTTCTTAGCTGTTGTCGTCCCTTCCACTTGAGACAAGAATTTAGCTTTTATCTAGATGAAGCTGGACTAGGCAACCTGGTCCTTAAACCTGGAATCAAATAGGAGTAGATAGCTACTTGGCTCTTGCTTGCATTGACAGGTTTTATTTTCTTGTTAATCTAGACTCAGTTGTTCCACATGTGCTTCCATAGATAATTCAGGAGTATGTTCAGCAGGTAGGGCATTGCTCACTCATGGAAAGTGATCAGGAAAGTGCAATCTTGATAAACAGTGAGCTCTTAACAAGGCCGCATAGTTAGCAAGTGCCAGGTAATTCACATCTGCAATCTACATAGATTCATATCTTGGATAACAGCACCCAGCCCTCTGAGCCATCAAGTTAATAAAGCTCCCTCAAAATATTTGGAGGATATCAGATTGTCCATTCCTGCGATAAACTTTAGTCTGTCAAAAACTAGCCCGTAATGGATCACAAAGTGTCTGCTGACCATCAGTTATCATTCTAATCATTCCTTGAACTTTTCAACCAAGCCCTTGGTGCCCAGATCTGTATCTCGGGCTTTTCCCCTCCCCGCTTACTCAAGTGAAAGGCTCTTTGGGATTCCTAACAGAGCAAATGAAAAGTTTTCCATTAACCAAGGCCAGAGCCAGAGGGACATGTGTCTGACTTTGGATGACCAGTTTGAGGTCTAAGGGTGTACCTATAAGTTTATTTCTGGATATTATACAGTGACCTTGAGAACCAAGGTCATCCATCCATTAAAAAAAAAGTTCCTTTGTAGATTTGGAGATGTAAATTTTGGACATAGAGGGGATGTTTTTTTCTGATAATTTCTTACCTCCTTCACCTAAGAACAAAGTTTGTTGACTTTTAACATTGGAATCTGTCTTAGATGTTCTGCTTCTCTTTCTTCCAGTTTGTCTCACATACAAATAGGACTTTGATTACTCGGCCTCTAAGAGATCCTTCCGTAGTTTGCAGAGTGAGAGCATGTCTACATATCTCTGCTTTTGCAGAAGTTTTAAGACTTGAGATTTCATTGTTTTAAAGAGATCCCGTTTATTGATGGCAAAGAAACAGAAAGCAGTACGTTACTACTTTCTGTGTTGTATCATACCGAGCATTTTGAGTTTTACATGTATTACGATTGAAGAGTATGAAAAAAATATTTGCCTTTAAATGGAAGTTTGTGGGACTTTAATAATGTGGAGGAATAGTTAAAACTGGCCCGATCATTTTAAAAGGTTTTGGGGCTACCGAATTTTGGACCACTTCATTCTCTCTTGCTTTCGTACAGATGGAGGTTACATTCCCGCACAAGTCAGACTTACAGTTTGGATTTGATGGTTCACAGTGCAGTTTTTTTGAAATTGCGGCACTGTTACATTCAGAAAACCTGGCTGAACTCTCTTTCGTTGCAAGGGAGGTCTTGCAGAAGACTTTTTATCTACTGTAGTGGAATGCAGATAAACGGGGTTAAGTTTTTGAATTCCAATGGAAGATGAGCCGAGTTGCATCTTCCAGGCTATTGTGCAGGTATTCTTCTTACAGACCTCCCTGAAGTTTGCAAATCAAGTATAAAACTAATTCTGCTGCTACAGTATTGTGCTTACTTCTAGAATATATACATACATTTAGAAAACCATACGCTATGAGAAGATGCACTCAAGACTGTATGTTTAGATGGATTTTTTCCTAGCTATTTGGGTAAAAACAAAACGTGAGAGAATGCATGTAAGAACAAACACTTGCTAAACGTACACTGTTCAGAAACGATCTGCTTTTTCCTATTCATTGGGATGAATCATTCCAGGATCTTGCTCAAAAGTCCAGCAATGATTGTCATTTTCTTGGATAAATCCAGTACGAAGAATGAGTTTATATGACTAATGCACTGTAACAAAATATGATTGGGGGACGGGGGCACTTCAGGATAATCATGCCTTAGCTTTCATATCCAATCCTACTGGATGGACTCATGAAAGCATACATAGCTTGGAGACTGCAACCTACAGTCCTGCACTGAAGTATCTAATTGGTCTGATGCAGGGGTGGGTTCTACTTACTTTTACTACCGGTTCGCAACAGAGCCGTGCGCGCTCGCTTTGCACGTGCAGAAACTTCTGCACATGCACAAAAGCATTTTGATGATGTCAGGGTCAGTGGGCGGAACCTCCTGCCAGTTTTACTACTGGTTCTATAGAACTGGTGCGAACTGGGGGCAACCCGCCACTGGTCTGATGGCTCCTGAGTTTCCCTGCATTGGTTGCCTGTGAAATTGTCCCATTTCCTTGCTTGGGGAACCTCATGCTTTTCAGCTCCTGTCTTTAGTAATCCTTTCTGGATATGTTCTGTCTGCAGTGACACAATGGCCACAGATTAGATTAGGTCAGATTAAGGCAGTCCCACTCTCCCCCCACCTTACACTTTTATTTTACCTCTAGGTAATTCCATCCAACTGTATTCGTCTGCAAGCAGTCCTTGACTTACAGCCATAATTGAACCCAGAATTATAGTCATAAATTGTGTTCGTTAAACGAATCTCCACGTCACCATGGCTGATTTTACAACCCTTTTTACATCAGTCGTTAAGTGAACCCAATGGGACTTTTTTTTTTTTTTTTGCTGGAAATCAGAAATAAACACTGAACTTTGGAATCGGGTTGTAAGTAGCTCTGGGGAAGTCCATTGTAACTTTAAACAGTCACTAAACGACCAATTGTAAGGCAAGGACTTACCTGTAACCTACTTCATAAGTTTTCCCAGTCTTCCCATAAGCGTCAACTATGGGAGAGCATGCATGGATTGGTCAATATTTGTGGATCTATAGTGCCACCTGCTGGTTTCTCCTGGACATTGTGAGAAATGGAGGCAAGATTCAGCCTCTTTGTTATTTTCATAAGCTCTAACAAATTGAAGCCCTTTCCCCAAAGCTAAAGATTGACTTATTGACAGCATTAAAGCAAAGAAGAGATGAGATGTATTGATGGATCCATGTTGTTGTCCCGCTCTATGTAGAGTACAATTGAGAATGTGGAAAAGGATTCTTTAAAAAAAAAAAAAAGTTGATTATTTCTAACTAGTCATCATCCCTGCCAAAAATGCTTACCTGAGTGTGTGTGTGTGTGTGTGGAATGAAATGTTCTCCTGAGCTGCAGACCTGCAACAAGTTCTTATTGTAACTATTCTTCTGTTTGCAGTGTTGGTGTCCAAATCCTCTCCGAAGAAGCCTCGTGGCCGGAGCATCTTCAAGGCTCTTTTCTGTTGCCTTCGTGCACAGAATGTGGGGCAGACGGCCTTTGGCAACAATCATGGGCTGCATAAGGAAGAGACAAACACCATTGCCAAGGTGAGGAAATGCCGGTGCGGTGACAGCTGAATCCACCCATCTACCCAGAGGGTTTGCAAACGCAACTAGTGGGCTTGGGAGCTACTTTATCTACTTCCTTTTTCTTTCTGGATTCTGGCATTCCCGATGTTAAATGGGTGTCCTTAGGATATAACCTCAACCTGCTTCCCCAGGCATCAGATACTCACCTTGCTGTCTCTGAATGTCCTTTCTTGCTTTTAATTTTCTCCCACCTGTGTATCTCTCCTTTTTAAAAAAAATTACGCAAAGAAACCCTTGATCCTGTCCTCCAAAAAAACCCCCACCAGTGGCTCTCTTTCTTTTGTTCTTTTATAAAATTGCCTGCAGCAGGAAAATACCTGCTTGTATTGAAAGCAATTGCTTTTAGAATTGTTTTGGAAATCAGGGCAGCTTTTCCTAACCCAACCGTTTGTCACTGTGTAAGGGCTGACATTCCCAGAATTTGCAACTGGAGATGTTGGAAGTTGCAGTCTCAACACATCTAGAAAATGCCCAGTTGTGGAAGGCTGTGGTATCTGTAACTGGTATCTATGGAGAGTGCTATAATATAGAACGAGGAAATAAATTGCCCATATGAAGATTTCTCTGCTTCTCCATGGGTTGGGAAGCCACAGCTAATCACAGGAGAGTAGAACAATGAAAAGCAAACCAGTTTTATCCAGAAATGGACTTCATTCTATTTTCTATAGTTGTGTAAGCAGACAGAAAAAGACCTTAAATATTATAGCTGATGGTGTATATATCTATCCCTTCTTTAAAACTACACGGTTTAGTTGCCTTGTCTCTGAGTTGTGGATGAATATCTTCTTTAAAAAGAGGACATTAATTTCCACTATTAAAAGGAAAAAAAAACTTTCATTATGCATAGCAAGGATGGGGAACCTTTTTATGGACAGGAGCTCTTAAAATCATGTGTCATCTGCTCTTCCCTTCTTTTTTTAATTTGGCCTGTAGTTGACTAAATTAGATATAAACCTAACAGAGATGCAATGCACTTATTTTGCTTGTGATTTCTTTATTTTTGAAAGACGCCTGTAAGTAAATAAGTAAGAGCACTGCTTGATTTCCGTCTGTTGCCCCAAATATCTGCAGCACGATCAAAGAAATTGGGGCTGCATTAACAGACTTAAAGTCCCCTTCATGTGTTAATCTAAAACATCCTCTAAGCTTTTCAAGCATGTAGCGCTTGTAATTTTTCAGAGTCCCTCGGCTACCCTTTTCTTCATGTGCCATGGCTGTTCTGGGTGAGAAATATGTATAGTAATGTGTGAAGCCAGCCTTTGCAACACTGTTCCTTGACAGAGGCTTTGCTGAAATCCCCGAAGAATAGTATCACAGTCTCATCTTTCTCATAAACCTACATCTTTGCTCTCCTCTTTTTTCCCCCCTTTTAGTCTGATCTGTTGCAGTGTCTTCAATACCAGTTTTATCAGGTATGTGTTTGTTCTAAAGGCAAGAGAGATCAGTATCTGCTCTTGAGCCAAGTCTTCATTTGTCCTCTGGAAATAAATGGCAGGCGTAAGGAGTTCCTCATTGAGAGAAAATCCCCAGTAAGGGGCAGCACAAACAGTGGCATTTGGGGTCCTGCTTACTATGGATTGAGTAACAGTTCAATGTGTCTGCTGGTTTAATATTACCAGTATTTTCAGTGAGACTTAGTTGCAATTAACTTCAGTTTTGATGTGTTAATTCAAATAATGTGTGTGGCAGCAAGGAAGGAAAATAATGCAGTAGATACTCAGCTCTAGCTTGGTGGTAACAACCTTGCCTCTCTGTGTGTACGCGGGCTCGCACATTTGTATATGTGAACAAAGGAAAATGATCCTACTCTGACTAAGCAAATTTCTGTTCATCTCCTGTGAAATTGGGGGGTGGGGGGAGGGTTCTGCTTGTCTTGCTGTTGAGAGCAAATTTCTGCAAGCAGGAATGTGGCTTGGTGTAATTCACACCAACAGCAAATGTGTTAGTGAAACTCTCCTCTGTCAGTTGCTGTGAGCATTCACAGGACTGACGACCATTTTCCCATTTGGGATGCAGGAATTTTGTCATTCAGAGTACAGCTTGGACTACAGCAAGAGTTTATCCTTAGTAGAAAGTTAATATTCTCAAGCCAATTCTGTAGCCAGAAATGATAGAATTCAGACATGGGTTTATCAATAGTTTTGTGTCAATGAAGTCACCGAGACATCGGGGGGATATCTCGTGGCAGTGTTTTCCCAACTCAACAATTTGGAGTTTTGCAGAACATATTCTTGAATGCAAACTGCTGCTCCTTCTTTGGTGTGCATACGCACTCCCTTTCTCTGTTTTGTAGAGGTGTCCTCCCACATGCCAGCAACATGGATCAACAAGTAAATTGCTCCTGGAAAATGTAGCTGTCTGTCAAATAAATAGAGACAGTTTCCCCTGGAGCTTAAAAAATGCTATGATGAAGAATGATGGGGGCAATAAAGAGAAAAGTTGTTCCCTGTTTGCCTGAAAATGACAGTAACTACTTTGAAAAGGGATCTAATGTTTGCTGTAGAAAATTTTAATATGTCAACACAGTATGTAAATTCAAGGCATATTCATCTATTCATAACTGGCTTTGACCAAATTCTGAAATGTACTTGTCTGAAAGAATACATAATGGAAATTACTTTGCTTTTAGAAAGTTTTAGAAAAAAAGAATCGAAACTTAACTGGACAATAGTACATCCTTAGTCTAAAAATAAAGTCATTGAGGCTTTAATGTGGGCATGAGGTGATTATTGGATGGAGAGAGAGACAATAGAAATATACAGGCTACAGCCTACAGTGTGTAACACTGGAATTATTCTACATTTTAAAAAGCATCTGTATTAATTGTACTCCTGCGTTAAAAATAACTGTAGATTAAAAATAGATTTGTTAGTTAATGGGAAGAAAAGCATTTTTGAGATACAGGTAATCCTTGATTTAAGACCAGAAAATTTGTTGTTAAGAAATTTGGTCATTAAGTGAGATATTCCACGACTACGACTTGCAACATTGATTTTGTTTCCGAGAAATCAGCTGCAAAGGTCTCAAATGATGATCACATGACCCTGGGATGCTGCAGCCATCATAAATTCAAGGCCCTTGCCAAGCGCCTAAATTTTGATCATAGGACCGAGGACAGGGCAGCAGTTATTAGTGCAAGGGCCAGTCGTAAATCACTTTTGTCAACACCATCATCATTTCAAATGGGGCTAATTGAATGGTCATAAGTCAAGGATACTTGTATTTTTATTGTAGAGGTTAAGGATCTCTAGAGGTCTAAAACCTGAGGTGATATGCACATTTTAAATATTAGGCCTAGGGGTTGTTGTTTTTTTGGCCATGCTTTTTTTCTCTGCAGACAGACTGAGACTTAAAATAACTTTATTGTCACTTCGAATGTACACTAATTGGCATACATTAAAATGAAATTTCATTGCATACAGTTCTTAAAGGCTCACCATGTCCAATATACACTACATAACCATGACAGAATAAATAAATAAAAAATTAAGCATATACCCACATATATTATATGACACAGAGAAACAATACAGTCTAATTCGGATGTATACATGTACATGGTGAGGAAAACAAATCTTGCGAGTTTCCCAGACGGATGGCATAGGGAACAAAGCTGTTACAGAATCTGGTAGTCCTGCTAGAAATACTTTGAAACCTCCTCCCAGGGTGGATTAGTTGCTGAAACAAGAACTTTCCAAATGGCAAAATATGGTACTTGTTAATATAACTGCATGAAGCTTGTTAAATGTGCCTCACAACAGCGTCATTTCTTTTGGTAAGATGCCCAGAAGCATTTGGGAATGCATGGCATATAAAGCAGAGCAGGGCAGGAATTTAGATTGAAAGGGAAATGGGCTATGATGCATGAGACAGGGCTCGGGTAACATTTTCAAGCAGTTCCTTAAAGCAGCTGCATCTGTTCCAAGCAATTGCAGCTTGATGTTGGATTGAAAGAGTGGCTGACAGTTGCTATGTTCCTGCAGCTTTGCACAGCTGTAAGATAAAAGTTCCAAAATTAAACTTGTAGAATTAAAACAGGATACAACGCATATCACAAAATGTGGTTCTTGCAGCCAGCGGAAGCTAAGCTCACATTTCTTTTTCTAGATTCCTGGAACATGCCTTCTCCCTGAGGTGACTCAACAAGACCAGGGCCGAATATGTGTGGTGATTGACCTGGATGAGACCTTAGTGCACAGTTCCTTCAAGGTGAAACCCTTGAGTAGCTCCCTAGTTTCAGTATTGTTGCATAATGGATAAACAAGTACAAGAAGACCCTGAGGGCATACTAGATCAGGGGAATGAAGGTCTGCTTTAGAGGGAACATCTGATTTAAATTTCCTCCTCCTGTTTGATGCCTTTCACATATATTGGCCGATATGCAGGTAGTCTTTGAATTTATTATTTTAATGGAGTCTGATCATCATGGTCATGAGTAGTAATGGTTGCAAAATGGGTTGGTTGTGTGATTGGCCCATGGTCCGATTCTATGACCTTTTTTGCAGCAGTCGTTAAGTAAATCTGTTCTTAAATGAACACTGCATTGTTAAGCAAAATAATGGTTTTCTATGGGCACAATTTTGCCCAAAACCTGGAATTGCTGATTTTCTGCAAAATGGTAGTAAAATGTGGTCATGTGATCTCAGGATGCTGCAAACAACTGAATTCAGCTGTGTTACCGAGCACCCAAAGTTTGACCATGTGACCATATCAGGGGAGGGGAGGCTGACCATTGGAGCTTTGAATCCTGTTTATAAGTAGCCCCAAGGTAGATCTTTGTAACTTCAAATGGTCCCTGAGCAACAATGAAGGACCGGCCCGCGGTGCCTCTTGACAGTGAAAATGGAGTCGCGGCCCTCCCGGGCTCCATTTTCAGCTGCAACTGCCTCCTGCAACCCTCTGCCAGCGAAAATAGAACATGGGGAGGCCTCCGTTTTCGCTGGCAGAGGGCTGCAGGAGGCCATTGCGGCTGAAAACAGAGCCTTGATGAGTGACATCAAGCTGGCCATGCCCCCTGGCCACACCCCTCCCCCCCGGCCCACCGAGGTCAAACACAATCTTCATACAGCCCTCAATGAAATCAAATTTGACACCCATGACCTATATCATACTAAAAGGAGTAGTTGTTCAGCACATCTCTTCATATATGTTCTGCCCTTGGAAAGAGTGATGATCTTACCAAAGAAGATCAAAATTTATTCCATCACTACAACTACATCTCCTCTAAGCCCCAAGTAGTAGCCTCAATTTTACAATTTATGAATTCAGAGCTTCTTAGTGAAGGCACTGTGTTGCTTATTCTAGGTCAGTATTTCTTAATCTCAGCAATTTAAGATGTGTGGACTTGCAACACCCAGAATTCCCCCAGCCATCATGCTGGCTGTGAAATTCTGTAAGTTGAAGTCCATGCGTCTTAAATTCACTGAGGTTAAGGAACACTGAATTATATAATAACAAATTTGTGTTGGCGACTCCCATCAACAAATGGGAAGAATCTGTCAGAAGTTAGAATTAGCATGACTAAAACATGCCTGATCCATCAGGAATTTAGGTTTTTGATATATAGTGCTTCAGGCATTTAAGGTAGTTTTTTTTTAAAAAAAAAAAAACGAGACAAAATGCAGAATCTTGCAATGGAATTGGAAGCAGAGCCTATTAAATAATGTCATTTAAAATTCCTGGAAAGAAGTCAGGACCTGTTTTTAGACAGAAAATTTGGGAAGGGGGTCCTGCCGGAGTGGTGGGGGGGAGAATAGCACAAGGTTTGTTTGCCAAATTAACATGTTCCTTTTAATAAAATTCTCAGCCAATCAACAACGCTGACTTCATTGTGCCGGTTGAGATAGAGGGAACAACTCATGAGGTAAGCCTCTTGCTCTTCACAGTTGGGAGTTGGATGGGTTTGGCGATATTTTGCTTCTGGTACCAAGTGTGCGTTTAAGCCTCTTCTCTTAGCCAAGACCACCTGCAAAAGAGAAGAGGAGGAAGGTCTGCGGTGAAGGCCTCAGCCTGGTTCAAGTAATCCAGGATAGGCTGTTACCAGGCAACACGGCCTATTCTTGATTACTTGTTTCAGGAGGCGGCTTCTTGCAACATAGGGTTGATGTTCCACCATAGTGACCTCCCTGATTGGATGATGCACCAGCAGGAGCTTCCAGAGAGGAAAAGTCACCAGGTGAAGAATGGCAGAGACCACCAAGGACTATTGAGACTTAATCTACATTTGTTTCGGTTCTCTGCTCCCTAAAATGTCTGAAATAGTAGCTACATAATCCTGCAGTTGGTTTCTGATAACGTAGCTACTCCTTACCTATCAACAAGAGAAAGTGTTCTTACAATGGACTTGGCAGATTTTAAAATGGTGGGCTGTAGCAAAGGCTGGAAATGTAACTTAAAAGATTCTGCAGATTTCACGAACCAGCCACTGGGTGCAGCTTCTTAATAAAAAGTACAGCAAAGAACCACCCTCTTTAAAATAAGTAAAGGTACCTTTACTCAACATCGTCCAGCAACTTGTCCCCTTGCTTCTTTTGGGGAATGTCCTTTATAGAGAATATACAGCAGATTATAAAGCAGTAATTCGAATGTACCTTTCTTGAGATCTGTGATAGCATATTTGCTTTGTTCCAAGAGTAAATATAATTATATGATGCATAGTTCCTGTTCAAATTATATATTTCCTCTTCCAAGGAATATAGGATAGCGTAGTTGGTCCTTCCCGCCTTTTTTATCTGTATAGAAAAATCCTGTGAGGTGCCTTAGATTAAAATATGGTGTCTTCTGTTGAGTGTAACAGCTGAGCAGAGACTTGAACTGAGGTCTCCTTGTCCAAGGCTGATACCTCAACCAGTTTATCATATGGCTTTCATTGGTGACACTGAGGAGGTACCAGTATGAAGTTCCATTTGCCCTTCTTCCCTTCCCTTCCTATTTTATTTGTTAGTTTTATATTCTGCCTTTCCTCCAGGAGTTTCTCACCTCTGAGATGATCAGACACTGGATGTCTAAGGCAACCTTCCAAAATATTGGTATTTTTAAGACGCATTGGGAATGCAATTCCCAGAATTTGGGGGGGGGGGATTGATGCAGCCGTTCCAGAAACTTAGGCTGAGATCACTTATTATGTTTGCAAAGTTAGATTTCCAGTCCTGCTAAAGTTTTCCCCTATCCTTCATTCATTTTATTGAGCAAACACAGATCTCTGTAACTGGATGCTTGCCAAATAATAATATGAATAGAGTCTGGAAATGCTGTTATATTTCCTACGTGACTTGCCCCTATGTGTCAGACCCTGAGGGATAAAAGAAGGCTGGGTAATGAAGGGAAGAGTGTGTGGTGGGATAGATTATGACACGAGAGTTATGGATTGGATGTCTGACCAGAAAAAAGACAATATCTGCATTTATTGCGGTCTGGAAACCCCTTTATAGACTTTTTGCCTGAAAGAGAAAAAAACAAGCTTATGATTTATGGATTTGTTGATTAGACAGAAGAGATTGTAGAAAGAAAAGAGCTATGTGGTAACCTTAAAAGTAAGAGGTAAATTTATAATTGGACTTATAACTGCTGTAAAGAAGACTGGACATTATTTCTTTGTATTATTTCTTTCTCTATTTTTCTTTTACTTTTATTTCCTTTCTTGCATTTTTAGCATTTTCTTTAATTTCTTCTTTTGTTTTTCTCACTTATATTAGTTTGTATCTTCTTTTAAGAAAATGTTTAATAAAAATTATACAAAAAAGGGTTATGGGTTGGAGAAGCAATTCTGCCAACTCTTTTCCACCTTCCACTTCACCCTTAAAATATTTGCCATGCTTTGCATATTTTGGCAACACAGGAATTAAGCCTGACCTTTAACTATTCCAGTTCTAAAGCACACTGCAGATATAAGAAAGTACTTTATGTACCATCTCCTCACCTTTCTGTTAATCTCTAGGTGTATGTGCTGAAGCGGCCATTTGTAGATGAATTCCTGAGGCGAATGGGGGAGCTGTTTGAATGTGTGCTCTTCACTGCCAGCTTAGCTAAGGTGAGTGAGTTCCAGATAGCTTTGCCGGACCTGTGGCTATGCTTTCAAAGTTCCCTGGTGCTATAATGAGAAGAATTTGTCACTTAAATTTTGTGAAATTGGTACGATGTAATTATAGATTTGCAGGGAATTTAAATTCTTATTAATAACTGACCACAGAAGGTTCTGCACAGACTCACAATTGCTTATATATTTTCTCTCAGCCCAGCCTACCTCATCTTACATAGGTGGGGAAAATAGGAGGAAAAGGAATATTAGCTACGTTCACCATCTTGAGTGATTTATAAAAATGGGAGATGATAGATTAGATAGATAGATAGATAGATAGATAGATAGATAGATAGATAGATAGATAGATAGATAGAATTTTGTATATACACACACAGGCACATACACATGGAGAGAGAAAGGAAAGAAAGAGAAAGAAAGAGAGAGAGAGAGAGAAAGAAAGAAAGAAAGAATAGCCAATTCCACAAAACTTCACTTAAAAGAATCAATGCCAAGTAACAAATTCTGCTTTTATGGGACCTGGTCACAGAGGCATAGTATTCAGATTATCTTGACTGCTGGGTCCTTTCATTGTCATTGTTTTGTTTCTACTCACAAAGCACTCCCCTCATCTCTTTCTCTCTCCTGCCTAGTATGCTGACCCAGTGACTGACCTTCTGGACAAGTGTGGAGTCTTCCGGGCCCGCCTTTTCCGGGAGTCGTGCGTGTTCCATCAGGGATGCTACGTGAAGGATCTCAGCCGGCTGGGCCGTGATCTGCGCAAAACCCTGATCCTGGACAATTCTCCAGCTTCCTACATCTTCCATCCAGAGAACGCGGTGGGCTTTTTACTCTCTAACTTTCCATACATGATGGCTAAGGAGTGGAATTGTGGATTAATTTGTAGTTCTGATTTTGATAGATCACTTGGCTAAAAAAAACCATTTTAATCTGGTTTTGGGGAAGAACTTTTTAAAAAACCAGTAGCACCTTCAAGAGTTGTTGTTCCCTTGCTTTCAAACTCTTGATGTGTACTGTGACATTTGCTTTCTTGAGCCGAACATAAATGATGGTTGGTTTGCTTTGGGAGTGTCATTCCCTCTTCAGTGACAGAAAGGGGGGGCATGTGTCTTCTCAGATCCCTAGCCAGAGATTTATAGGAACAGTGTGGAGGCAGATGCTGATCTTCTTTTTCACCTTATCATTGCAAGACTTTCTCGTGTTCATGTAGAGATAGCTGAGAAATCCGGATTCCGGTTTGACATCGCGGCGAGACAGCCGAGAAAATACCGGGCTCTGAGGAGTCCCACTAAAAACCCGGCTGCCGAACCGCCGCTGATGGGTCTTCGGACCAGAACCGTTCTGCAGGGACAGGGTAGGAAGAGAGGCGCCTCGGACGACCAAGAGGAACAGGCAAATTCCTCAGAGGTCGGAGGGAACTCTGTGAGTCGGCGGTGGGGGGCGGCAGCCATGGCGGCTGCCACGAAGCTGGGACAAACCGAACTAAGAGACGGGCAACAGGAAAGAGGAAAAGAAGCTCTTTGAAGCCGGGTGAGTGACACCAACCTAGGCTTGAAACAACTCTAGAGCAACGATGGTTACTTGTAAGACCCCTAGCCTTAAAATAGCGGCTGTGGATTTGAGGGGCATAGAAGATTTTGGAAAGTAACTTCAGGAGGAAAAGACCCGCTAGGAAATTTACTCTGGTATAGATCCAATTGGAACAATTCAACATTGAGACATGCTGAAAAGATTGGGAAAAATTCTCAAATTAGAATTGGACTTTGAAAAAGGAAAAAAGAAAAAGGTATGGATTCATTTTTAAAACTTAAAAGAAGAAGAGAGTTAAATTGGACTGTTACATAATTGCAACAAAATGGATACTGGCGTGACTAAGGGAAAGTGTGGATTGCAGAGATACACCTTCTGTTTTAAAAAGAAACACTGCAACTTGCTGTTTGTTTTGGAACACTCTGAAATTACAAATAATAGCCGTGGAATTTTGGTGGAGGAGGTTTCTTCTTTGTCTACAGATGGCTTCTTCAGTGGAAAGAAAGAGAAAATATAATGGAACTTTCATAACTGTTACTTATTGGCGCAGGAACAAAAGAAGTCAAATGGCGCAGGAACAAAAGAAGGAAAGTTGATGTACTTTGCAGGGAATAGATGTAACAAAAAAAATTTAAAATGACACATGGAGGATTAATTTTGGGAATTTTGAATTCGAAAGGGAATATATGTTGATAGACAAGGAAATTTAGAAATAAAATATATTCGGTTGGGAAAAAAGAATATAAAAATAGTCTGATTAAAAATGAAAATGTAATGTTTAGATGAATATTAATTATAAAAAGGAGGTATTCATAGATGGATAAGGATGGAAAATAAAACAATGTGATTAAAATAGAAAAATAAAGTGAAGATGGATAATATTGTTAAAAAGGAGACTCTTATAGATGATTAAGAATGAATATGAATATGAGAAGAATCCAAGAAATGTTATTGATTTATATTGTTTGATTTAAGAATTAAGTCTCAATGTTAAACTGCAGAAAAAATTGAGAATGATAACATGATTAAATATGAATAACTATTGTATAGATGGAAGGTAAAATAAAAAAGGGGATTACACAGAGATAAACAGTAAAATTAAGAATATGCTTAATGAATATGCTGGAAACAGTCAAATAACAGATGAATATGCTGGGAAACAGCCAAAATAATAGATGGAGATTTTTTTTTTTTTTTTTGGGTGTGATAGTAAAAGACGAATATGCTGGAAAACAGCTAAAATAATATGAATATGCTGGGAAACAGCCAAAACATAGATGATTATGCTGGGAAACAGCCAAAATAATATGAATATTCTGGGAAACAGTCAAAATAATATATGGAGATGTTTATTTTGGGTGTGATAGTAAAATAAAGATGAATATGCTGGGAAACAGCCGAACAACATGAATATGCTGGTAATCAGCCAAAACAATAGACGATGCTGGGAAACAGCCAAATAATAAATGAATATGCTGGAAAACAGCGAAAAGAAGATGATCAAGAGACAGATAATTAAAATAAATATGATTTAAACTGGAATTGATAGTAATAATAAAATGATTGTGTTGGGATTAGTATTAAAAATAAAGGTGACTGTTGATATGAATAGTAAAATGAAGATGATAAGATTAATAATGAAATGACTCTGTAAAATGAAGAGTGTAATGTGTGATAAATGGGGTAAATTAAAAGAGATTAGGATTTAAAGACTTAAGGTAATGGGTATATAGATAGAATTTAGGGTAATGATTGTAATTAAATACTGAGTTGTGTTATTTGGAAATTAAGATTTGTGGTGATATAATAGAAAAGTAAATGTTTAGATTAAGATTACAACGGTGGAAAAAAATTCTGTTTTGGCTTTTACTTTAAAAGATGTAATGGTAGAGATGTGGGAAAGAGCTTGATAAAGAGGGGTAAGCGATTGTACCTATTCATGACCGGATCAGTGCTCCGTTCTTAAAAGATGTATTTTATGTTTATGTTTTTAAAAAATAATAAAAAAAAAAATTCAAAAAAAAAAAAAAAAGAGATAGCTGAGAAATTCTCTCTCAGCTCCTCCCCTTCCATCTTTCCCAGTTTACTGAATGCTGTCCTACACACCAAGATTATAACCAGAAAGAATTCAGCTAATTCCCTCTTGTTGACTGGCATTCCTACAGCCCCTGTCTAGCTTCTTGCCTTTAAAGTGGCCTCATCCCAGTAACATGCCACTCTGTTTAATATTTGAAATATTTAACCAACTTTAAGCAGTTCACAGATTCCACTCTCCAGTGTAGGAAAACTCCCATCGCCACAGTTCTAACTAGGCAGGGATTTTTTCCCCCCTTCCTTTCTCAAAACACTAGGCCATCCAGCTGAGCTGGATTCGAAGGAGAATTAAAACAGAAAAAAAAAAAAACCTCACTTATTCACACAATCCGTAAATGAAGTAGTAGGAATTCATTAACACAATATATGCTAATAAGCACTAAATTGGACAGCCTTTAAAAGGCTTGACTAAATTCCTGAAAGACAGGTCTCTCAAAAGACAATGGGCCTTAAAAATCTCTACATGGCCTCCCAAAAACTTGGGAACAATATGCTCCCAAATGCCCATGACAGGAGGAAAAGAGCAGGGAGGTTTATATCTCCATGTTACTAGGCCCCCCAGAGCATCTGTTGATCACTGTGAGAAACTAGCCTTGGCCTGATCCAGCAGGGGCCAAAGGGGTTGCAGCCAAGAGTTAAATAATTGCTGTTAACATTTTAATGCCACTCCTCCGATCCTAGTTTTGCCAGGGTTGTTTTACTTTTTCAAAATACAGTACCTTGTTCCCTGCCTGCTTGCTTCTGATTGACTTCTCTTTATCTCTCTGACTGCCCTGTAGGTGCCGGTCCAGTCTTGGTTTGATGATATGACAGACACTGAGCTGCTGAACCTGATTCCTGTGTTTGAGGAGTTGAGTGGAGCAGAAGATGTCTACACCAGCCTCGGCCAACTAAGGGCACCCTAACATTTTCCTAGTGCTGTGGCCGCTGGGGAAACTACTTTTTTTTTTCACTCTGTGCCTTCAGTATTGGCCAGGAGGGAAAGGGAACAGTGCAATTGCTCCCCATCACCCTGCCACAAGGCAGATACAAGCACTTTGGAGGCAATAACCTGCCTGGCTGCCTTCTGCGCAATGCCAGAGCAGTTTCCAACCAGGGTATGGCTGGATGCTAGAGCTTCTAGCCTTTCCACCAAGAGCAGGGACATCCAAAATAACCCCACCCCATTCCCAATAGTGCTAGTATCTATGCACTGCACCCCAACCTTTAGGGGATCAATCCTTCCTCCCTCCCTCCCTCCCCTCCCGTCCCCAAGGCAATGCCAAATGTTTTGGATGGATTCTTTAAAAGGTACATCCTCCTCACTTGCTTTTACATATTCTTGGCAGTGCTTCTTACACAGCCCCCAGGCGAAAATATGTGGAGACTTCTCATCTCTTGGCTGGGAGTCAGGATGGCCGCCTCTACACTCTCAAGATATTTCTGTTCTTGCCTGATCTTCTCATATAAGATCTTTCTGGGTTGTTTTGAAGTTGTTGCTTTCTTTGCCTGTTTTGTGAAGCTACCTTTGCTTCGCAACCTCTGGTTCCGGGCCTCATCGCCCTGCTGGCTTTGAGAAACCCTTCCTCACGTGTGTGTGTGTGTGTGTTTGTTTTAACATTCTGTCTTGCAGTTGTGTTTTGCCTCTGATGAAAGGTGAGACCCCTGGACTTAGAAAATACTTTGCAGCAACCCCCACAACACTAGTAACACATAGCATTAGTGAGGACAAAGCTAGCCAGCCCCACCAATGCCACACTCCTTATTTGCTCAAAGACGAAGCGTCCCTGCACTCCAGCTTTGATCAGTTCCTTTGGGGTGGGTGGGTGAAGGAAGTGACTTCATTGCCTTAAAGGGCACCCAGTTAGGAGGCTGCCAGGACAGTAGGGTGCCTACCCTCGACCCAGTTCTTCCATTGTCTTTCAGTGTGGAAGATGGAAGGATTCTGATGGTCGTCCCCTGATGGTTTTTACCTTGCTTGATGATGCTGAAGGCATAACTTCCCACTCAGGTTGCTCTAGGTTCCATCGTTATAACATGACAGCCCTTAGTCCCCCTTGGATGGTGACAACGAGTTTGGGGAATGAATCTGTTAGAAGCTAGGAGACTTTCCATGTATGCACAAGCCTGCTTCGTATGTCATTTGCCTTAACAACTGCCTCGCTGCCTCTGTGCTGCAGCTGCTTGGCAGCAAGCAACTGTGCCTCTTTTGGTGTGGCCTCTCCAATTCCCGCTCTTCCCCGCTCCCCCCCCCCAGTGCATTCTCAAACTGGTTTCAGCTCCAAGCAACCAAAAGTAGTTGGAGAGTTTGTTAATATTTATATCGCAGGGAGTCGCCGGCGGACATTGGTTTTGTTCTTCCTAGGGTTAAGGTCCTCTTTCCTTTCGAACTGTGCCTGACATACTGTGAACATGTGCTTCTCAAGTGCCACTGGAAGCAAGGGAAACCAAATGGATTAACAGTGCCGGCTTGCTTTTTTCTTTCTTCCTCCCCCCCACCATCAGCAATATATTGCAAGAGAATCTAATCTGTGTTTAGCCATTGTAGGGCTGGTAGCAAAGAGGGGTGAGGAGGGTAGAGTCCATGGGGCTCTTTTTTTAAAAAAAATAAAAATAAAAATGGTGCTGCCTTATTGTTTAAGGGGTGGCGGGCAAGTTGCAGGTCATCTCATCACCTCAGGACCAAAGCATTGACCTCTGCTGTTGGTCAACCAGCCAGCTGTTAGCCTGACCAACACGCTACTTGATATTTTCATCCCTGTTTTAAGTGTGCTGATCAGTTTTCAGTGGAGCCCTGAGACTGTGTGTGCACACTTAGTCAAACTTCAGTCAATTCTTGAGCGGCATAGGCCCTGTTGTCCCGTGTCCCCCCCGCCGCCCCGGTCCCCCCCATTTTTCCTGGCTTCGTTTTTCTGGTCCTGTTTGGTCTCCTTTGCTGAAGGTCTGGATTCCTGTGTTTGGGGGAGGGCAGGACGGGGGATAGGTTTCCAATTTCAGACACCAATGAGGAAGTTCTTTCCCTCCCTTGCAGTTCAGCCAGCAGCTGCTTACGCACACAAGCCGGGAGGAGCCGTTAAACTTTGCAAAGTTAATGAATGTTGGAAAGAACAAACCCTTTTTGTTTTCCCTTCCTATTCTCACAGCGTTGTTCTTGCTTTGTGTCAGCCGAAGACCAATTGCCTCTCTCTTCCTTCCTCCCTCTCATGCCAGCAGCTGCCCCAGCCCTTTCTTCAAGATGAAACAGGTTTCTAGTCCTTTGTTGGACCGAGGTTAGATGCTGCCCCCTGAAGGGAAAAAAGAAAAGAAAAAAACCAGTTCCCAGTAACCTTAGCCAGTATGGTCATATGTGAGGGATGCTGGGGATTGTAGTCCAATATGCTCTATCTACATTTGCTGCAGAAATCACTTTTTTTAAGCCTTAAAGAGGGTGGGATTACGATGAGAAGAAGGCAACCCATATATTCTCCTCTCTAAATTGCAGTGGGCAACATCGCAGTCCTGGCGTGGAGGGATCTGTATGAAATGAGTCTGATCTGAAAAGAGGCAGATTTTTTGGGGGGGGGGTGTATTTGGTTTTATCAAGTTGGGGGAAAGAAACTGGTTGCTGAGAATGATGTGGACGTGGTGATGAATCCCTTCGGACAATCCTGCGTGGAGGGAAAAACAGTGATCGTAGGACTTCAGTAAGTAGCAGCACCTGCCATGTTGCCCATAAACGCCCATTCCCACTCTTGATTGTAAATCATGTTTTAGAGCCATAAGGATTCCTGGGTCCAAACTACCATGTTGGGATTGTGCCTTGATTGAACTATGGTTAATGAGGGTAGAACTCCAGCCTAGAGGCGGCCCCAGCACTTTACCAGGGCCATGCCTTTAATGGCTGCCCCATGTACTGACTACACTAAAGACACATACACACATAAATCTACCCACGCTTGTTTATGGTACCTTTTTTACATCCAGTCTTGTTTGGTGCTCCCATTTCATACAAGAAATGGAGGCTGTTGGCTTTTGAAGAAAAGAAGCCTCCAGCTTTCCCTTCTCTTCTCCCTTCTCCTCATTAAACTGTACAAATTTATCACATGTCCTCACTTGCTGGGTTTTTTGTTTTTTGTTTTTTTTTTTTTTTTTTTTAATGTTTTAATTGAAAAAAAAATCCCAAAACTTGAAGCTGGCACTTGTTGCCATTATGAACTCTTTCTATTTTTGGAATCTTTGTATTAACTGCAATTAAAGAAATAAAAAGAGATCAAACTGTGTCTTTTCATTAAGCGTTTGAGTGGGTAGCTCTCTGAGGGGGAAAAAAACAATAAGGTTTTGTAGCTGCGCAAGTAAGTCTGGAACACTAAATATCCTTTACGGTATTCGGTGGAGAAATGCACAAAGCTGCACAAAAAGGCTGGTTCTTGGAGTGACTGCAGCATCAGGCAACGATGTATGTTTAAAAAACCCGATGCAAAAATTGCTTTGGAATTTTTTTTTCCTGCAAAGAATCAATTTGCATAATACAGCTGCCAATCCTAACTGAAAGCCAAGTATAATTATGTTAAACTCGGTTTCAAAATCATCTAATAATTGTTGATTTATAAATAAAGCATGGGTATATTTCTGCATTGCAGCCAGATGATACTGGACGTAGGGCCTGTTTTCCATTTTCCAACCTAGCGTTCTTCAGATACAGCTGACAGTCCCAGCTTGCCCAACCAATAGGCCAGCACCTGGATTGGGGAGGGAGAGTACGGTAGGAACGTTTGAGATATGCCTCCTGGCTTTTCAATTGTGTGTTGGGGTTTGGAAGACTTGCTCCCATAACTATTCATCCTTTGAAGTTCTGGGGAATCCTCAGACAACCTTTATGAACCATGTAAGCATTGATGGACTCTACCTGGTTTGAACTGGAGCCAAACAAATAAGCATCACCCTGCAAAGACCCGGAAATAAACATTTGAGAATTTGCTCTCGGTCGTTTCTATGTTTTATATCCTTAACTTCTGCCAAAAGAGATCCTGAGTGTGTTGGGAAAGAGGCTATTTTCCATTGCAGTGGTTCTAGATGTAGCTGGTTCAGAAAGAGACTTTTTCCCTCGTAATCAAAATTATTTAGTTGAAGTTTCTTCGTACCCTCATTGCAGAGTAGAGTTGAACCAGACCCTGGGAGAAGAGATTGGGGGGGGGGATTTCATATGATTGAATTCACTTCAGTTTTTCAGTTGTGAGGCAGAACTGGATGGGACAAGCAATACATTAACCAGTTTGAAGAGCTGAGGGGGAAAAATACACCTTTTAAGAGTCTGGAAGTGGTAGCTAAGAGGCCTGGAGAACTGCATTTGGCTCACAGGCTAAGGGTACCCAGCTTCTCTTAATACCTTAAATAAGCTAGGTGCAGGGAGTGAGGAAAACACCAGCACCTGGTTTATTCATCCATTCAGTTTGAATGCTGCCTGATTGTAGGAGCAACATTAACACCAACAAAATATGAAAAATTATCTCGTGTATAAAAATAATTGCAAAATAAGTGTAATGTAGCAGTCCAAATAACCAATATAAAACATTACAAACTAGAATTCTATCCAAAGTCCTGAGTAAATAACCAGGTTTTCAAGGTTATTGGGAAGGGGGTCATATGGGTCTTGGGTGGGAGCCCTATTCTAAAGGGCAAATCAGTCTTGGAATGAGCCACCTTACTGGGTCATATGCAAGCAGAAACCAAGAAGACTGGTTTTTTCAAATAACCAGGCTCTGCCACATAGGGCTTTGTAGATAATAACCAGCACCTTGAGTTACACCTGGAAATACAGGCAACCAGTCTAGTTCACAGAGCAGAAAGATGTCACATCAACAGGCTGAGGCAATATTATCACTGTTTGTAGCATTGTATTGTGGCTCAGTTGGAGGGGTCTTCAAAGGCAGCCTCACGTAGAGCATGTTGCAATAGTTGAGCCATGAGATGACACTGTGAGTAAAGTGATCCAGGAAAGGATGCAACTGATGCACTAGATGGAGTTGTGCAAACACCTTCCTGGCCACAGCAGCTACCTTCTCTTCAAGCAGAAGCTGTGAGTATGGGAGAGCCCCCATATTGCATGCCATTCCTGACCAGGGAGGTATAACCCCATCAAGGAGAAGATAGAAAATCCTTGTGCCTGGACAGTCCTGATAGTCACAGCCCCTCACTCATGGTAGGAGACTGGTCTGCAGTTGGTTTCTCCCCAATCAACTTCCAATTGATAAACTACACATGGGATGCTCAACCATCTACGTTGGGCACATCAGCTTTGGCCTTCAGCATTTCTGCAGCAGAGTATGCCACTCCAGTGTGGGGCACATGATCTGCACACATGAAATAAGTTGATGTCACCATCAATGAAGCAGTATGCTTAGTGACAGGTTGTCTCAAACCTACACCAATTGATAAAATATATCCTTTTGCTGGCATTGCCCCACCAAAGACCAGGAGAGAAGTAACAACAGATGCTGAGAGAACTAAGCAAGAGAATGGTTCTTGACATCCTCTGAACTGACATACTGTATGCTCCTAACCCGCTGACTCAGTTCTAGGAACAGCTTTATGGCAAGAACAAACATTCTTGAGGGTACACAAGAACAAAATTGAATTAAAAGATGGAGGAAGGAGACCATCGAGCAAGGAATAACATTAAAGGAGGATACGGCTGAAGGATCTGACCTCCCTTATACTACTTGGAGGGCCCTGAATGGGTTGAGAGTTGGAGTGCCTAAGTGTAATATGCTCAAGTGGAGGCTCTTAGCAGATAACAACACATTATGTTAATGTGGAGAGACACAGAGCCTGGCCCATCTACTGGTATATCAGCTACTACCTGAAACATGTGCCGATTGTGACTTATTTTTGGCCAAAAGTACATCAAGAAGGTGGCTTCATTCTGGCAGTTTAAAGTTTGATCGAGACACGGGAGGAGGAGGAGGAAGGAGAAGGAGAAGGAGAAGGAGAAGGAGAAGGAGAAGGAGAAGGAGAAGAAGACTCCAGGCACTAGCACTGAATTTCAACAGCCTCACTTGGCTAGCCTGGGATCGAAAGATACAGTTGTATATCATCTCCATATTGATGATATGAAAACGAGTAGTAGAGCCCTGGGGAGTGACCTACCCCAACCCCCACCCCTCAGCATCGGAAATAATTTGCAAAAAAAGGAAGAAACCACTAAAATTTGATGCCCCCAAATCCCAACCATTCCCAATCCAGCAGTTCCGTCCGTGGATCATGGGCAGCTTCTAGAATATAGTCTCAATTCTGGCTATTGGCTCATCTTCTTCCCTGCACGATGAGCTTACTCTGCCTCTCTGTCTACTGTCTTTTGCATTGCATTTCCGAGCAAACCACTTTAATGTGGTTTAATGCCATATTCCTTCCTGCTCCCATTTTGTTGCATTATTGATGCAACCCTGCATTTCAGAAAAATCAATGGAAAACTGGGATGGCAGCAATAAAGAGAGGGCTGGCCCAGGAACCCCTGTAGCTCCTCCTAGTTCAAGGTTTTCAACGACGACAAACAAACAAACAAAAGAAATTAGATGTTTTCCCTACATGAATCCAAGTCATTGGGCAAGGCCAGCTCTGTTTGGACCAGGCAGCTCACAAGGCAGGCAGAATGCAAATATAATCAAATCTGTATGAGCTGGCCTGGATCCTCCGGTCAGAGGCTGCTCTGAATGGGAAGGGACCATTTTCTCTGCCTGGCAGACTCAGCCTTAGGGAGAAGTGCAAGTTATCTCCAGCAAATTCTTGGTAAGTGTGGGCATGGTTTATGGGGTGGTTGAAGTCGTGCTTAGGAGGAAGGTGGGAAAGAGTGGGAGGAGATGGAGAACCCTCCATAAGGGATGGGTATCAAGCTAAGCTGATGGAAGTTGTTTTTCCTAGAACAGCCTCAGGAGAAAAATCAGATTGAAGAAAGAAGTGGCAAGGTTTCCTGAAAATGCAAGCACTTAACTAGCAGTGCAGTCTTACGGGTATTTGAGCCCCACGGAAAGTTGCAGCCTTAAGAATGCTCAAAGGGAGCTTATTTAAGGCAACCCACTGAACTGTGTGAATTGAATTACAATATATTTCTTTAAGCAAATTAAGCCTCCAAGATAGGTGTGGGCTGGTTGCAGCCATTGCCTCAAATAGGATCCACCTTGCATACCTTTAAATGTCCTCTGTTTGTTGGGATGTCATTTCTTACAAGACTGAAACTGGGAAATGAAGTCAGGGTCAGAGACAGAATTTGGGCTTGGCTACCTTCAGTTCCATGTGGTTGTGTGAACATGTCTGATATGAATTGAGCTTTAGCACCCAATAAGTGATATTTTTGTCGACAGCTTCTAAGGTCGGTTAGTGACTCTTTGAAATTTCCTTGGACAGCTCTGTATTTATTTATTTAATCACTTTATGTGGCTGCCCATCTCATAAATGTGACTCTGAGCAACTGACAACACCTTAAAACTAAAAAATATTAGCAAAGGATAAAAATCTACCATGGACACCAAGGAAAACACCAATCAACACAAACATTCTAATAGACCAGTGGGTCTCAACCTTCCTAATGCCACGACCCTTTAATACAGTTCCTCATGTTGTGGTGACCCCCAACCATAAAATTATTCCTAAAACCATTGAAAATATGTGTTTTCCGATGGTCTTAGGCGACCCCTGTGAAAGGGTTGTTCAACCCCCAAAGGGGTCCCGACCCACAGATTGAGAACCACTGTAATAGACCATCTAACTTCCCCAGCCCCAGTCCTTGGAGCACATCCAGGTCTTCAATGGTTTTGAAAAGGCCAGGGGGATCAGGGCCAATCAGATCTTGGGGGCTTTGGGGGCTTCAGAGGACTGGCCCTGAATAAAGTCTAAATGTACCAAGAGGGACTGGGTATACTCAATCCAATCAAATGAATTTTTACTACAAGTTTTACATGTTGCAGATTACAAAATATTGGAACAAAAGCTAGGGGATAGAAAACAAGGGAAAGGGTATGGAGCAGAGAAAATCTACTTGAAGAGCAATCTTCAATATTTGGTAGAGAGGCTACAACCAAGCCTGCTAAACCTTCGGTTCAGGGCAAAACAATGAGATCAGACTTTTGCTTTGAAAAAAGCAAATGGAAGATATGAAGAAGCCAGATTAATCAACGTGATTACAATGAACGCCCAGCCCATTCTCAGGCATTTGTTTTGATAGCAGAAAGCTTTTCGAATTTGACTGACCGCAATGATTCTGCTTTTTGTTACTTTAGAGCTGACAAAGCTCCT